GGGTTCACTGAAAACTTCAGGACAAACTTCATCTCATCTTACCCACATCCTCAAAATCCCTTTCACTGCAGAAGGAAACAAATCCACAGGCTCCAGAGATTGGGATGGGTGGTCTTTGGGGGCCACCATTCTGCCTTCCACACCATGAAACTTCAGAACACCATCCCTAAAACATCATGCAAAACTTGTGTTATTCCCTTGGTTTAACCCTTGGCAGTGATGAAGTTTTCTCTCTGCCCAGCAGACAGTGAGAGCTTTTCGTTTAGACTTCCACAAAGTGCCTCTTTTCTTCCAGCTTGCAAAGTCCAGCTCCTAGAGACACACAGGCTGTGCCCTGCATGTCTCCGAGGGGTTTGGCCATGTGCTGCACAGTGAAATTTCAATCAGTGACAAGTTGCACACTCCTCTAAGATCACAGCAGCTACTAGGCCTGTGATAGGTGATAACTACCTTGGGTTGTTTACCTTCCTTCTGTGATATTTGCACAACATTGGCTCACCTAACACACTTCTCAGAACACACCTCTACCATCAGATGGCTTGGGACCATACTGATTTCTAGGTAATAAGACATTAAAGTATGGTTCAAAGTATGAAGCAAGCTTTGTATAAACAGGCAAGATGTTCCCATTAACGGAGAGATTTTCTTAAGTAACGGGGACCAGCAGAGAGTGTTTTTTCCTGCTTTATCTGTCTCCATCACACCACCAAGTCAGTGATCATAGAAATGCATATCATGCACTGATATGCAAAAGAAAATCAAAGGCTTTGCTAGGCGCACAATAGCAACTAGGGCTGGTAATTTCACTAGCAGGTTGGATTTGAGGCTTGGTTGTGATCTGTGTACATCCAGGTGGTTTAAGAAAAACATCAGACCACTCAAATATGTTGATTAGTTTTGCTACCAGGATACCCACTACAAACAGTGTCACCAAGTAAACAAAATCTTGTCCTGCCTGCGACTTGAGTTCAAGCTGAAGTCTCTGTGCGAACAGTGCTCTGTACTTGGCCTTTTGATGATAGCAATCCCAAGGGCACAGGGACATGCAGATAAGAAGCCAGCGGTAGCTGTGGAGTCTGCAGAGGAGCTTGCAACCTCTGCCCTGTCATCAAAGCTGTGGTTGGGAAGGTGCCCCTTCCGGGACACACTGTGCCTTGAGTGATCACGGGGTACCACATCTCAGATTTCCACTTTGGGAATCTCCCTTTTCCTTATTTACTTCTGGGTGTGATGATCATTAAGATAAAGCCTAAGCTCCTTCAATGTTTTGGTCTCTTTTTTGTAAGGCTATTTATTTATTTATTTATACTGGGGATAATCCCTGGATGGCTATTTATTTTTGAAGTAAATATTATTTATTGAATAACCAGTGCCAGAAAATATTTAATAATAGCAAAAACCTACTTTTTACTCTGGAGAGAGGAAGCCTTTCCCCATGGGCCAGAATTCTGCAGAATTCTGGACTGGAACAGCTGTGATGGAACTCCAGCCTGGTCTGGGGTCTGGGTCTCCAGCCCACCCTCCTGCTTTCCACAGATGGCCCATGGTGAGGGTGGTGTGGGCCTGTGCTTCACTTTAGTAGGGAGTACAGAGCCAGGTTAATAGAAGTCTAGTGGGCAGAACATTGTAGAGTTCTGCTGTGTGCTCAAAAGAACACCATGAAGTGAAATTGGGCTCCCTGTGATACCAACAGCCTGGCTTGTGGGAGCCCATTTGAAAAAAACCTATTGGCCCAGTCGGTCCTTCCATGTCACTGACTGGGACTGTCTCTGGTCATGAGAGATGGTGCCATGGAGGGTCCACAGCCCATCAAGAACAAGACAGCACCCCGGAACAGGGGGGTTTATCTGCAGCAAGTATGTCCAGATGAGGGACATGGTGGAGGGAGATGCAGAACCATACGTGACAGTGCAGGGCTCCAGGTTATCACCATGACGGGGTGGGTGGGGCTACAAAACTTGAAATTAGAATTTTGGAGCAGTGGAGATGGCCCGCCTCAGAGAAGCAGTGACTGCACTTGAGGGTTGACCTGACAGGAAGGTGCCAGGAAAACAAGCACCTCAGCTTCTCCTCCTCTCCTGTGATGTGTCCAGGGCTCCCCACTGGCCAAGCCTAGAGGAATTCATGGTGCACCATGGGGACACTGATGAGCTCCATGCTGGTCAGTTTCTAAGGGCTGGAGGGGTAAGTGGAACCCGTATGTGGCAGAGCCAGAGTCTCAGCCGTGTACTCCTCAACAGGGGCATCTGACTTGGGGACTCGAACACTTACTTTCCGCTCTGTGGATGTGCTGTGTGAGGGGCTGGGCGGTCTGAGCGGGGGTCTCCCATTTGCTGATGCGTCCAACTCTGGATGTCTCAGAAATTCTTGCAGCGACTCCGCAAGGCCCATGACATCGTCTTCAATTGTTTGGTGGGCTGCCTGGAAGGAAGACAGGCTTACCCAGGGTCCAGGCTGTGGAGAAAAAGAAATGAGCTTGTACCTCAGGCCTCTGTTCTGCATTGCTGCCCCTAGAAGCAGCCACTTGGCCCACGCAGAGGTCCCATCAGTGAGGAGAGCACTTTGCTGGTGATGCGACATCTCCATCCAGCGCTTTGAGCGGTAGGAAGGATTGAACGTGGGGGTTATGTGAGACCCAGGCAGTGTATTTTTCCGTTCTTACAGCCAGGGTTAAAATAGCATCTAAAATGCTATTCAGTGGGCAAAAATGCCATCTGGTGTGAGGTCAGGGGCCACTATGAGCTGGAGAAGTGGAAAGAGCAGCATGACAGGAACAGGAAGGGACATTCCTGGCCCGGGGTGAGTGACTGTGGGGCTGGGCCAAATGAGAAGGAAATCCGCGGGACAGGGCTGTGATTTCATTTGCCCAGAGTGAGAATGCATGTGGCCGATCTGAGAGGAAAGCCCTGGGTGGGGAGCGGTGTAGAGACGGCATCGGGACCCAGGGAAGAGACCTCAGCAGCGCGCGCCCTGTGTTTGCTTTTTGCTCTAGGTCGCTGGTCTTTCTGTGCTCAGAACCAGGGAGGAGCCGAACTTCACTGCAAGCTCCATCAGGCACAGGACAGCACAGCCTGTGTGTGCTTCTCAGAGTGTGGCTCCTGGGCCTGCAGCATGGATCTCAACTTAGAATTTGTAGAAATGTAAATCATCAGAAACAGCAAACATCAGTCTTCTTGAATACCGGAGGCCTGCACTGGCTTCCAGTTGAACTGCTTTCTGAATTGGCAGCTGCACTGTGGTGTAGGTCACGTGGGTCATGTGAGGATTTAAGGATTATTTGCCAATTCTCCAGTGCAGTGGTTTTCAAAGCGTGCTGCCTGGACCAGCAGCAGCCACACCAGGAACTTGTCAGAAGTGCAAAGTCAGACATCCACTGTCCACTGGGGCCTACGGAGTCAGCAGCCCTGAGGCGGGAGCAACAGACCCTGCTCACAAGCTCCCCAATGTGTCTGAGCCCACTCGAGTTTGAGACCCTGGACCCTGGACAGCCAGCCCCTCATAGAGGCAGGGCATGCATCGGAGCCCTGGCACTGAGCTCCAAGATGAGCTCACGGTGGGCTGGAGGTAGCAGTGGGTTCCCCATGGAAAGGTTCACAGAGGGCTCTGGCAGTGGTAAACACAGTGCAGGGTATGGGTGTAGGAAGCAGGTCAAGGAGGTGCAAAAACCAGAGACAAGGGCCACTGTCACCTCTTGTCAAAACCCAGGGACCGGAGATAGAAGAGTGCTGTCTTCGCTGCTTCAGAGGTGATGAGGGTGCAGGGCACTACTCAGATGTGGGTAGCAGAGTCCACCAGCCTTGGTGTGCACCCACCCACTTGTAGTCTCGTCTTCTCTTCTTGCTTTTGTGGTTCGTTCCTCTAATAGCCCCTACTAGGGAGAGATATTGTGGGCGAGGTTGGGACAGGAGAGGTCGGTACGACAGGCAGCACACGATTCTTCCCTTTGAGGGTCAGCCTGGAATGGCGGCAGGAATATGAATGAAGAACCCATTATTCTGCTGTGATGTTCAGGGATTGGTGTCAGGGGCAAGGTTAAAGCGCGTACACCCGTGTTTATAGCAGCACAACTCATAGTAGCTAAATCCCATGTATCCCTCAACAGATGAGTGGATAAAGAAGGGGTGATCTTTACATGGACTGAAGTACTGCTCGCTACAAAGAAGGATGACCTTGAGACCATAATGTTAAGTGAAATAAATAGGACTCAAAGCTTAAATAGCACATGGTTTCTCATATGAGAAATCCAAAACATAAATGAAGAGCCAAACAAAAGACAGACAATAAGGGAGCTAGAGCTGTTGCAGAAGGGAAGGGGACCAAGAGATGCAGGAATGGGAGGGGGAAAGGATGTAAAAGAATTAAGATGCATGTGTGCTTGTACCACCTCCCCATGACGAATGTAATCATTGTGTACTGCAAACACGCACTAAGGAAAATGAAGATTTGAGAAGAGGCTGAAGCCTGAGTTAGGAAGAGGCGTGTTAAAAGCTGGGGGGCAGCGCGCTGCAGTGCTGCTGCCTAGCACGTGAGGCACTTTTGTTGAGGTGAGGGGTGTTCATTGAGTGAACACGTGCATATACTGGGGAGCCCGCCGGAAGGAAGGCAGTGCTGTGTATCAGACGTGGTGGGCGAATCCCCCATATGTTAGGCACCCACAAGCATTTGTGTCTCGATGATTTAAACCTCACAAGATCCCAGGGGCCTGGGAGATGGTGAAGAACACACTACCATGTTTGGCTTTTATCCCGAGGCAGTGGTTGAGATGCGCTAAGGAGAGAATGGGCACGATTCACTGGGCAGAGTTCTCATTGCTGACGCCCGTGACGACTGCCTGAGGAAACACAGAGCCCAGCGTCCCGCAGAGCAGCAGCGCATCTCTCGGGCTCGGGGCTCGGAGGGGCTGCAGCTGGGTGTTAGTGACACTTCAAGGCAGGGGTCTGAGATGCATTGAAAATGTCGTAAGGACCGACTCTAACACTGCCGTCTTGTTTTCCTTCTAGGGATGTCCAAGTCACTGGTGAGTGTCTTTTCTCCCTCTCCACTTATCTCCGGTTCATCACCTGCACTATCCATTTGCTTCTGCGCACCCTTGGCTGCTCCTTGCCCACTTGATGAAGGTGATTGTGTGTCTCGCTGATCCTGTGTGTCCGTAAACGATGTCTCTCTGTAGGAAATGCTGCATATTTCCTGCTCAGACTAGCACCTTATTTCACTGCTTCCCTGCATGAATGAGTACCATAAGGGAATAAAGATTTTAACCTGAGACACTGCCTGAGGCTGCTCGCCGTTAAGCTGCTCCATGCGCCTGGCCGCTTTGCCTGCCACTGGCACTGGCTTGGGAGTGTGGACTGCAGAGGAGCAGATTCCACCCTCCTGTGTTTTTCTTTCTACCAGAGTTGCTTTGGTTACCCCCTGAGCATCTTCTTCATCGTGGTCAATGAGTTCTGTGAGAGGTTCTCCTACTATGGGATGAGAGGTAACTGTCACCCACTTGGCCCTCTCCAGTGAAGCGCTGGTGGCCGCCACCTGTGCTAACCCTGCTCCCCTCCCCACCCTCTGCCGACAGCGCTGCTGGTCCTGTACTTCCGGAACTTCATCGGCTGGGACGACGACCTGTCCACAGCCATCTACCACACGTTCGTCGCCCTCTGCTACCTGACTCCGATCCTCGGGGCTCTTATTGCCGACTCGTGGCTGGGGAAGTTCAAGTGAGTGGTGGGGACTTGCTGGTTGGCAAGAAACTCAAAATGCGCATCTGGGGACTCGAATGGTGGAATTGGGGGATGCCAAACCAAGGAACAAAAGGTCTTAAGAGAGCATCTGGGGCCTGTTTCTGTTCAACATCCTGCCCTGTAGAGCCTCAGTGCTTGGCGTAAACAACATTAATGACACAAGGAGGGCGAGGGTCTTCACTGTCTCCACAGCAGTCTTTAAAAATAACCAGTGGTTGCTCCTGGCCAACTATTGTTGCCACCTACAAGATCAGTAACTTCCTGTCTAAATCTATGGACACTAATTTCTATATTTAGTAAAAAAAAAAAAAATAATGAGTCTTTCAACAACTTGAAAGATAAAGTCTTTCTCCTTCTCCTGATCCACTGTCCACAGCTTTGCTCTGCACCTGTTTGTCATGCCTTTCTGAGAGTTACCAGTTTTACCCACATTCAAGACACAAGTTCACTCATGATCAGGCTCTTGTAAGTTTTGAAGGACAAAAGATAGAAAGTGCGCAGCTGTGGCAATTAACCGAGATTCCCTTCTCCCTTCCATCACAGGACCATCATCTGGCTCTCCATTGTCTATACCATAGGGCAAGGAGTCATCTCAATAAGCTCAATTAATGACCTCACAGACCACAACCACGATGGGACCCCCAACAACATGCCCGTGCACGTGTGAGTTGGTTTCCCCAGGTGTCTGTCTGTGTGATGCTCTCGTGTCTCATCTTGTTCCTCCACCGCCCCCATGTGAGGAGGGAGGTGCGTCCTTACACAACAGCAAAGTAGAGGGGGCTGTTTGGTGACACAGTTGGGTCTTCCACATGACATGTGGTCAGTGGAGGGCATCCGTGTCCTCCTGGGTTTCTGTAGGCACAGTAGCTCTGTGGACATCGGACCTTAGCACCAAGAAGTCTCAGGGCCCCAGGACCTTTGGTTTCTCCTCCATACCACACATCTGCTCATGATTCAGTGACTGGGTGTCATAAAACTTTGGCCCCGCTGTCTGTTTGGAGCTCTTGAAGGTGAGAGGTGACACACAGGTGCTCCCCTGCCGGGTTCCTTTCCTTCCCACAGCCTGGCCCTGGATACCCACAAAGGCTGATTTTTTCTCCTCTTTGTGCTTCACCTCCCTGATCCTTGAGAAAGGCATGCCATGGGCTTGGTAATATATTTGAAACTCAAGTCTGTGCCTATAGTGCCCACCATGTGTCTGGTCCACCAGTTGATTAGATGGCTGTCCAGGCCTAGGCCCTGACACCTTGTCTTTGTGGCTAGAGGAAACAGTGTTGATGAGGGGAACAGCACTGAGCAGTGTAGGCCTTGGAAAATTGGCTTCTTAAGAAAAAGGATTTTGCTGGGTGTGATGACTCGTGTTTGTAATTGAGAGGCTGAGGCAGAAGGATTGTAGGTTCAAGGCCTGCCCGAGTAACTTAGCAAGACCCTGTCTTAAAACCTAAATAAACAAACAGACTGACCATGAACTTGGAAATGGGTAATGTTCAAATTCTGACAGTGCCTTCTGGCTGTCCTGTGATCTTGGGCAAGTCTTACTCCTTTTGCCTCAGTTTCCTCACTCGTGGTGGGCAAATTGAGGGGAACACCCAGAACATCGATGGGCACTCAAGAAATACTGGCTACCTATGTTTCCTTTTGTGGAGCTGGTGTGGCACCATGCCTGGAATTCTCACGGGAGTGAATGGGATGTAATGTTCAACTCATCAGGTCTTTGCTGACTTTAAAATGCTGAGAGTGACCACTTCAGACACGAGATGAAAGAGCTGCTCAGGCCGGGTAAGGCAGGAAGACGGACCCAGGAAGCATGCCTTCCAAAGACTTGTGCAATATCTGTCTTGATTGTATCTGCTTCAGTTTCTTTTTAATGTTTGCTCATTTTTTCAGGAATGCTATTGAACCTGGGACCTTCTCACTGAGTCATATCCCCAGCCCTTTAATCTTTTATTTTGAGGCAGGGTCTCACTAAGTTTCCCAGACTGGACTCAAACTTGCAATCCTCCTGCATCAGACCCCAGCTCATGCCACCATGCCCAGGTTTGGCATTTTTAAGTAAGATTGGCAATAAAGAAGATACAGGATGGATATTTGTGAAGCCTGAGATTTGTAGCGCCCACCTGTAAATTTAGTAAAACTGCAAAAGGACAGTTGATAAATGCTCTGATTTTGTTTTCAACTCAGGATATGAAACACAGATAATTTGAAAAAAACAAAAGTAAATTAGGATAAATCACCCTTAGTCCTACTATCTGGGGGTAATAATAAATCTTTTATTTCTTTTCAATTTTCTGTACTTTGTAAACAAATTAAAACCATACTGCATAACCTGATATTCTGCTCTGCAATGAAATCATGCTTTCCATGCATGTTTAATGACTGCCAGGAGTCGGTGTTTACATTTGATCACTAGCTTTTCATGAGTGTGTGTCTGTGTGCACGCGTGTGTATGTGTGTATGCTAGAGACCGAACCTAGGCCTTGTGCATGCTAAGCATGGACTCTACCACTGAGCTATAGCCCCGGCTCCTTAATTATCATTTCATTCTTCTACTGGAAATATATGACTACAACAGAACTCCAATCTTTGTTCAGATGTCAAGCTGTTGCTTTCAGGTTCCTAGATGATAAATTAGTAGACAAGGGTAAGGACTCTTGGGCCCAGGAGCTCAGCATGTCAATCGGCTCTTAGACTACAGTCCTGCCAATGATCTCCTTGTCAAGTCTGCATCCTTCCCCATGTTTACAGCTGTCTTCTGGCCTCTGAGGGACATCAGAGGAAGGGTCCTGTGAGTGTGGACCTCCCTCCCACCTTGGCTCTAACCCGCTCCTTTCCCCAGGTCGCTGTCCATGATCGGCCTGATCCTGATCGCTCTCGGCACTGGAGGAATCAAGCCGTGCGTGTCTGCGTTTGGTGGTGATCAGTTCGAGGAGGGCCAGGTGAGTCTGCCTGCTGGAGGACCAAGACTCACTGCGCTGGGATGGTGCTGCGTCCTGTGGGCGTGTACTTCAAAGCGAGACGCTGACCATGGCAAAGTCAGGTGTGAGCGCCATCTGCTTAGACGACACGTAGCCCAGGCCATCAGATTCTAACTTTATCCTGTCTGTCACAGGAAAAGCAAAGAAACAGATTTTTTTCCATCTTTTATTTGGCCATTAATGCTGGAAGTTTGCTATCTACCATCATCACACCCATCCTTAGAGGTAAGGAATATCTGAGCGGGATTGGCACTTTCTCTTTCTGAGTTGAGAAGAGGGTGGTCAGGTGGACAGTCACTGTCTTGTGGCTTTGGTGTGTCCCCACCTTACCATTCAGCTTTTATCAACGGCCGGAATATGAGCTGCTTTTCTTCAGGCTTTTACCTGCCCTTCTAATCTCACTAGAGCCCCTGGTTCCTTTCACCCCTGCAGAACTGAAATCATCCCGAGCACAAACCAATCTCTCCAGTTTTTCATTAATGCAGAATCCTTGTTCAGAGTGAGAAATGAGTCAAGAAAGTTGTTTGGGAACAAGGCTTAGTGGGTTATGATTGACACTTCAGCCTTCAAGCTCTGTTCATTTGAGTGGGCAGAAGAAGGGCTGGGGACTTAGCTCAGCGGCACAAGGGCCTGCCTGGCAAGTACGAGGTCAAAAGTTTGATCCCTGGTACCAAGAAAAGCAAGAAATTAGTGCAAGGTTTTATCCTGTACTTTCCTTAGATCTCAAGTATCCTGAAAGACCCACCCAGCACAAAAGAATGAGACAGTAAATGTAGACAGCGGTCGACAGCGCTCAGGTCTTTGATCCACTCACCCCCTTTGAGTGTTTGTGAATTTCTTCCATATTTCCCTGAAAATAAGACTGGTTCTCATATTAATTTTTGCTCCAAAAGATGCAATTGGGTTTATTTTCAAGGGATATCTTACTTTTTCATGTATAATAATCTGCACTTATTCATGTATAAAAAGCTACATTTATCCAATAGAGCCATTTATCTTTATCATTGTCATAACTACATTGTCATAACTCTATACACTCCAAATTCTGGCCTGAATCTCTTGTAACTCTATTCCCTGTAGAACCATTGGCCCCCGTGTCTCATGTCAAGCCACAGAGCTGTCCTTAAATGAGAGCTTCTTGTCCATGTAACTGCTCATTATTTTATTTATTTTATTTTATTTTTGGTATCAGGAATCTAACGCAGGACCTTGCATTTGCCAGGCAGGTGCTGTGCCACTAAGCTATATCCCCAACTCTGTCTGTGATTTTGTACCATGAATTCTTCACCAGTGTCAAGACAGCATAAGTTTCACAAAATTTCCATTAAATCAAGTGTTAATTGAAAACTTAGAAGATAGGAGTGGCAACAAATATAATGACAGTTAATGATGGTCTCACTGGGCATGGTGTCACACTCCTGTAACCCCAACACTCAGGAGGTTGAGACAGGATCACGGCAAGTTTGAGGCCAGCCTGGCTACAAAGTGAGTTCAAGGCCAGGCTGAGCTGCCAGCAAAACCCTGTCTCAAAAAGAAAAAGAAAAAAAAAAAAGATGGCCCACACAAAGCAACCAAAAATTGCAGGCACCAAAATTCAGAAAACATTTCTTTATTTTACACAAGTGCATTAAGTACGTCTGTTACAACAGACATCATACTGAATTACGAGGATTCATATTATATTAGCCACAGATATACTGTTTGTTATCAAGTGCACCCATCATTTGTGCACTGTGTCTGGGTTCAGATTGCTCACTCAGCAATACATCTCAGGTGCCTCTGTTTGTATAGCCAGGTACCTCTCAGCAAAGGTGCCTGCGTGGGTGTTTAGAAATGCTGTGCTTAATTATAGTTTAGAGTGGCATTTATTTTAAATACTAATGTTGATAATACTCACATGTTATTATTTTATAATTCAATACATCTGTCCAGTGTTGCAACAGACATACTAAATGTGTCTTCCTGGCTGATGGTATGAATTGGGGCTTGTTGGGGGGTAAGACTTATATTACGAGCATCCTGAAAAGTCAAGCCAGGGCTTTTTTTCTGGTTAGATCTTATTTTCAGGGAAATATAGTGTGTGGAATGGAATGCCTGGCATTTTTGGGGATAACTTGGCAAAAGCATAGTATCCACCTTGGAATCAAATTAAATCATGAAATAAAATATTTTATAGGAATTCGTACATTTCTACAAAGATTAGTAGCTTGAAAATGACAGACACTTAACCCCCATTCCAACTTACTAGTTAACGAGAGAACTAGTAAGTTGTTATAGTCAGTTCAAATAAGGATTATTCCAACAGAAAGCTTAATGCTTTATAGGAGGAGTTATTTTCATATTGCCATGAACAGAAATCATTTGCATATCTGTCAACAAGAAATCTTTGCATGGCTACCATTTTCCTATTAGTTACCCTCTACCTCTACAGAAATGTGAACTAGCTGTCAAAGATAGGACAAAATCCCTGTAGGATCAGATCATTCCTGGAGGCTCCAGCATCCTACTAAAAGGGTTTCCAGTAATTTCTGGAAAGCCTCACAAAGCCTTAGGGTTTTCCTACCAGTGCTAAGATTTAAGAGCTAAAATAACCCTTGGAGGACTAAAGCCCTGTAGGCCAAATCCAGAAAACTGTAAAAGACCATTGATCTAGACATTGTCTCTGCTTCCCCTACAAAGGCAGAGTCGAGGATTTATTACAGAGAGCAAACTGACCTTTCACAGAAAAGAGTCGTCAACCTCTGCCTGAACTCCTAATTATTACTTGATTACCCCGAAGAGAGGAACATGAATATTGATTTTCCAGGGCACTGAGTTCCATATATGTATTCAAATTATTGCACCTTGGTTATATTTATCTCCTCCATTTAGGAAATCCACAGAAAGGGCCTACCTAGGCCCACACATCTCTTTAGAAGCTAAGATTAGATCCAGTCGTCATCTCCTGCCCTTCCTACTATAATGCTGTTTTGCCCAATGGGCAGTGACACCAGACAAATCAAGAGATGAGCATTAAGTGAAAACAACATATAATTACCAGGACATTACCAATACCATAATGAATGTGAATCTTGTCATTTTCTCCCAGTTCAGCAGTGTGGAATTCACACTCAACAAGCTTGTTACCCGCTGGCGTTTGGGGTTCCTGCGGCTCTCATGGCTGTATCCCTAAGTAAGTAGAAATTGCTTGGATTAATACAAGCCTGTGACCAGGTCAGACCCTACATTAATTACGGTGACTGAGTTTTTAAAGTCTGCATAACAAGTGTGTAACAAAAAAATAGAGTGAAGAATTAGGTGTTAACCATGCTGTCTCCCAGTGAGAAGAAAATAAGGACTTGGGACAGAAGGAATCAGCTGAGTTGGACAGTTAAAGGTCGGGTACTGTAGTATTTTAGGCAGAGGAAATTGCGGTGGGGAATCTGCCAGGCCAGCTGAACTTGTGGCTGGAAGCTTTGGTTCTTAGCAACATTTCTTCCAGATCTTGTTTTTAGGAACGGCAGCCTGGCTTAACCACCTCTGAAATACTTCCAGTGCATATTTGTTTCCATAATCGATCATCCTCAAATGACTACTAGAATTCCTTCCTGGAAGGCCTATGGACATGTGTTAGAAATGTTCACTTGCACATTCTTGGCATTTGCTTTTGAGGAAAGCTGAAGTGTCCCACGGGGGACAGTCTGACTTGGAAAATGGCAGCACAAAGTGCAGCCCAGTGGCCACCTCGTGTCTTCAGAGCCTTTTCTCCGGTGACAGAATGGTCAGCTGTGACATCACATTCTCCAGTTTTTATTTTCTGGTCTTACTAACATCAGCCTGGTTTTGTCTCTTGCTCATGTTATAGCAATTTTGCTTTGTTCCCACATTCATGGGAGAGCACAGTATTCTCCTCTTTTCGATATGTCTCCTTCCTTCCGTGGTTCTTCAAATGTTGGCACGTGCCCCTAAAAGGCTCGTGTGTGACTCTTTAATTCTGCCTGGTACCAGACACTGTAGTATGCACCTTAGGTAAATTCTCGTTTCGCCTGTATGTTATTCTTAAGGTTATTCTAATGGAAGAATTGAGAACAAACAGAATCCTGTATGTCAACACCACCTCTAGGAATTCCTGTGTATGAACTGGGCTTCAGTTTATCAAAAGCTGAAAGACTGCCCAGGCCTGGTGGTGCACACCTGTTATCCCAGCTGCTTGGGAACTGCAGCAGAAAGATCGAGTTCAAGGAGCTCAGTACTTAGTGAGACTCTGGCTCAAAATAATAGTTTTTAAAGGACTGAGGCTGTAGCTTAGGGGTAGGACACTTGCCTTGCATGATCCAGACCCTGGATTCAATCACCAGTACTGGAAAAAGATTTTTAAAATTTAAAATATTATTCAGGAAAAAATGTAGACTTAGTCTTTTCATCTTCTTCACCATGGATGTGCGTTTCTGCCTTGAGGAAAGGTGGCGTCAGGCAAGAGTAAGTGGATGTGCCATTTGTGAACCACGTATACACAGCATATATACCTAGAGGACTGAGCTCAGGATGTCACACTGAGCCCTTTTTATGATTTATTTTCAGGCAGATTCTCACTGAGTCACTAAGTTGCCCGGGATGGGTTTGCTCATTCAACTGTCCTGCCTCAGTTTCCCAGAGTGCTGGGATTGGAGGTGTCCTTTCTTGATTAAGGAAGCCAAGTAGAATGCAAATGCTCCATTTTTGCTTTGTGATTTTTCAATTGCAATACTAGACAATCAGAAATCCTGTTATAGGGACTGTGTTTCAGTCTCTTGCAAAATGATTTTTGTCAAATTTGTTCTCACAATATGCCCTTTGCTAACAAGGTCCACAGGAGAGCAGCTTCATTCCAAAGATGCTTCCAGTTTTTGTAAAATGAGCCACAGATGCAACTCACTGTAACAACTTCTGTGCAGTGACCGCAGGGAAAATTCTACCACATGTGATTAAGTAAAATGTTGGCAGATTCTTTTTGGCTTGAATATTAAAAAGAAAAATGATGAGAAGAATATTTCTCCCGCCACGGTAGCCAGAAAGTTAGTGCTGGGCTTACTGTGTGTAGAATGTGCGTGAACCCTGCACGCGGAAGCGTCTACTTCTCTTGCCTCCCGTTAAATAGCGCTTGTGCTTAAATTGCTGCCCTGGGTCTGTGAGCTGCCACGCATCTGGGGAAACTGACAGATAGTGCTAGGCGTCAGGGCTTTGATGGGGGAGCACAGACAATGTTACTCAGAGCTTGTGATTATCAGGCTCAAGAGCACATTCACAAGCAGAGTGCAGTGGCACTACTTGTAATCTCAGCTCTCCGAGGCCGAGACAGGAGGATCCCCAGCACGGGCTACGTAGAGAGTTCAGCTCTAGCCTTAATACACAGCAAGATCCATCTTAAACAAAAAACCAGAAACATTCTCCTCTCCATAAGTAACCAGCTGTTTCTAAACAAGCTTATAACTCAAATAAAAGCTCTTCTCTCAGGCCACAGGTAGCTCTGGCAAATGCCACGGTAACACATCCTCTCTGCACCATGCAGTTGTGTTTGTCATCGGCAGTGGATTGTACAAGAAGTTCCAGCCGCAGGGCAACATCATGGGTAAAGTGGCCAAGTGCATCGGTGTAAGTACTGCTGAGACGTGCTCTGTTTCCTGGGGACCTCTCGTGGACAGCAATCTCAGTGGCCTCTCATTTTGTGATGGGCGCAGTGGTGTATTTTCTGCTCAGTGTTACCCTCGATTAAAATGTATACTCAGTTCATTGAGTATTTTATTGACTGCATTATAAGAAATCACCATAATATTTTCTAAAATTCCTTTCTCTCTCTCTCTCTCTCTCTCTCTCTCTCTCTCTCCTTTTCTCTCTCTCTCTCTCTCTGTCTTTCCTTTTTCTCTGAGGATGAAACCCAACCCAGGGCCTCGCACGTATATTCTGAACCAGTGCCCTATTCTTATTTTCCTTTTTTTCCTCACTCTTTATTTTCTTAAAACTGTACTTCCGGCTGGTCCGATGGCAGTGGGTTATCAGAACTTATTAACATTGTGTCCCTAAAGTTGGTATACCACCCCTCCACTGCTAAATTTGACTGGGTTTAAAAAAATTTTTTTTTAAAAATGTTCTTCCAAATGAGTTTTCAGTCTTAAATTTTTTGAATGATGCTCAGTGCAGTTACTAGAAAGTTTTTAATATGTTTGGAACCACCTAGTATGTAAATCTAGTTTCTCAAATATAAACTTTATGAAATTAAAGACATCATATGTTTCTGATAAATTAACAACCAAATTGAGATATGTCATAAATGGAAATATCTCCCTGAATTTTGAAGATTTGTGATGAAAAAAGAATATAAAGATTCTCATTAATTTTAAATAGATTATATATTAAAATCACATTTGGGATTTACTGAGTTAAATAATATATATTTAATGTAAATTATACTTATTTTCCTTTTTATTTTGCTACTAGAAAATTTAAATTGGAAATATTTTTTGTGTTATGTTTCTACTAAACATACATCTCTACAGGATCTGGAGTGTGGTGATGTGACTCTGCTTACCCCAACTGAAACATCTTAATTAGGAAAAAAAATTAGGAAACTAGAGATGAATGCATAAGCTGTGCCTTTCAACATGCTCAGTATACTGAATGTACAATTTTATATTTTGCTTTTCTCTGTTGTTTTTCCACTAACGGGTGTGTAATTGCAATAGAGTTCCCTGATGAAGTTGTTAACTGTTTTTGAAATTTTATTCATCTTCCTTCTTTCAGTTTGCCATCAAAAACAGGTTCAGGCACCGGAGTAAGGAATTTTCCAAGAGGCAGCACTGGCTGGACTGGGCTAAAGAGAAGTACGATGTACGTAGCCATTCTCACTACCGTGCTTGTAGGTCTTCCAGAGACCTCCAAAACCGCAGCTCAGTGTATTGAGTCTCCAGGACACAGTTAGCAGTGAGACCCTCTTCACTTTATTAGCCCATTAAATCAGGCTCCACATGAGTTTGGCTTTTCCCGTTTTTATGTTTAAAATACGTTTGCAGTGTAATGATTACATTCCTCATGGAGACTTGGTACATGTACATAGCATTTTCTTTTTTAAAGTTGAGAGCTTGATAAACAATGGACATGATTTAGCTGAAAACACTGTTACCTTTCCTTAGTTTTTCAGTAACTATTCGTGATTATGATAAACATAACATCAATGAATACAGAAGAGGTAAGGGGTGGGGGTGGGATTGTAGCTAGTGGAAGGTACCAGATGTTCTCGCTCATCTCTTCTGTGCTCTTTGGGACCGTCAGTCAGCTCCCAGCTTGTCTCTAGACACAGACGTCTGACTCTGAAATGAATGGTGTCGGGGCTCTGTGCATGACACCTCCCTTGTTCCGTCTTCCCTCCCTCCAGGAGCGGCTCATCTCTCAAATCAAGATGGTCATGAGGGTGCTGTTCCTGTACATTCCTCTCCCCATGTTCTGGGCCTTGTTTGATCAGCAGGTAAAGTTTTTGTGTTTAGCAAATGCACTCTGAGTCCTGCTGTGTACACAGCCATACTGCGTGGTTAGCTCCTAAGAAGGTTCCCTTCCAGGTCTTCACTTACTTAATTGTTTTATCACACTGAGTTTATCTGTAGGAAAGAAAAAAAGAGTTCTCGTAGCTTCTGTTCACTGTTACAGTGAGGCAGATGAGGCAAGCATGGTCAATAAAGCAGCCTCACGGGCAGCTTTATCAGTGTGCCCAGGATTCCTGCCAGTCAAAACTGAGAGGAGAGCGTATTTCCTACCGAGCCTGCAAGGTGAAGAGGTCCCACTTTGATGGGGTCCGTGGAGTGCTGAGAGGTCCTGCTGTCTTCCTCTCTGAAGCAGGATGCTTGGGCTAGAATGCCATGGGGCATGGGAAGCGAGTGCACAGAAGTCACCCACAAAGCGGGGACCCAGCCCAGCAGGGTGACAGGTCACCCTGCTCTTCCTACCCCAGCTGCAAGGCTCACGTTAGAATCCCACACAGTCGTGCCAGACAACTCCATGCACAGCGCTCAGGGGCTGAAGGAAACTGGATGGTGTTTCTTTTGGAAACTGAAGTTAAAAAAAACAAAATGATGAGCATGTGTTTCTTTTATTTGTTTGTATCTGTACAGGGGATCAAACTGACGACAGGCACTTATGCCACTGAGCTAAATCCCCAGTCCCTAAGCATGTGTTTTACTGTACAGAAGCTACTGTTAGTGTAACCCTCCCTTGGGGAAAAACTGAGCATATAGGACCCCTCGGAACCAGACTCATGCTGGAGTGAACCTCTCCTGGCCTGCTGCTGGGTGCCTAGGGATGAGCATGCCTCGCCCTCTGTAAAGGCCGTGGAAACGCAGCACAGGCCCGTGAGGCTGCACCTGGGGTTGCGTGTGAGGTGCTCAGGGACTGCATGTGTTAAGAACACGCAGCAGCGATTTCTTCCTGTGACATCCTCCTGGTGGAGGCAATGGGTTCTCCGGAAAGTTTCTGTGTTCAGTCTTCTGTGGAAATCATTACTAGGGACCTTACCATCGCTTCTGCCCATCCACTCAGGTCCCTTTGTTCCGCTGGCCAAGTCAAAGCAGGCATTTATTTTAATGGAAATAAAATGCTTTATTTGGTGTTGGCTCCAAGGAGAGGGTGGGGCCTCCTTAGGCTCTGTCACCAGCTGGCCGTGTCCAGGTGTGCAAGGGTCCTTAGTAGTCGGGAGCAGAGGCGAGGCGCACCGCAGACATGCACATCTGTGCACTAGGGAGGCCTGTGTGCTCCGCCCAGCATCTCCAGCTTGTCCCCACTTCTCTGTGGGAAGGAACGGGGCTGTGGTCCCCCCAGGCTGGCGTCTGCACGTTCTGTCCCTTCCTGGGCTGAGGACGGAAGGGGTTGGTTGTACACTCAGCAGGAGGACGTTTTCAGGAGCCACTTATCTACAAAGGAGAAGCTGTTTATCTCTAAGAGGAAAACTCTAACCTGTCAGAGATCATTTCATTTCACCGTGCTGGTTACAGGATGCCCGCTGTGTGTGAGACAGTTTAGCCTAACCGGGCTGCCCAGGGTTAAGTTCGCCCTGTCCTGAGGAGACCCACATTAGCCCCTCTAGACATCCAGGGTGGCTCCTGGCAGTTGGAGTGTTCTAGAAACTAATGGCAGTGAGCAAGAACTTTGCTGAGTGTGGGGAGCCATTGTCACTGTGGGGGTGGCAGCAGGTCCACCTCACTCTGAGAGCCTCGCTGCATTGCGCGTGTCCTTCCCAGGGCCCCTGGCACAACAGAAATGTAGCTTCGCACTTTCTACCTGTTTTCTTGGGGCTGGGAGGCCAACTTGATGTTTAAGACTTTAAGTCCTGCAACATCTCAGACCTCATTGCTAATTTAGAAAAGACTTGGGAATTTTTAAAAAGCCTGTTCCCAACTGATGCAAAAATGTGTTCATTTTTAAGGGTTCCAGGTGGACACTGCAGGCGACAACTATGAACGGGAATATTGTAAGTTTGGGGTCTCATATTTCACCTTCCCCTTCCCAGTACACTTTGTTTTAGTGCCTTTGTCCTCTTTCTCCTTCCCTGCATGGCATTTTCAATGAGCTTCCCCCTCCACTTCTTTGCAGGGAACTATTGAAATCCAGCCGGATCAGATGCAGGTAGGAGGAAACTGCCGAGTTTCTTCTGGAGCCCCAAGGGGTCCTTGTGACAGCGCTGATGTCCTCTCTGCTTCCCCTGCAGACCGTGAACGCCATCCTGATTGTAATCATGGTCCCTATTTTTGACGCTGTGATCTATCCGCTGATTGCCAAATGCGGCTTCAATTTCACGTAGGTTCCCAGTTGGTTGGGGCTGGTACAGATGCTCCTGGTCTGAGGCTTTGCCCAGGGACCACACCTCTCTCTGCTTCTGGCACATCGGGGCAAGACTGATTTCTGCCAATTGATGGGGATGCAGACCTCTAATCTCAGCACTCTAGGAGGCTGAGGCTGTAGGACTGGAAGTTTGAGCCAGTCTGGGTGATTTAGAAGTTCAGTACCCTGAACTTCTAAAGCTAGGAACTTAGCTTAGTGCTCAAGTGCTTGTCTGGGAAGTTCAGGGTGGTGAGTTTGATCCCTGGTACAAAAAGAAAAAGAAAGTTAGTTTGGTGAGACCTTGTCCCAAAAGAGGATGTAACTCAATGCAAAGGCCCCGGGTTCACTTCCTAGTACTAAAAACTTAAACTAAATGAAAAGATTTTTAAAACAATAAAAGTTCTATAAATTGTGCCTGAAAATGCCTCTAATTAAGACTGTCTTATGTAAGGTCTCTGTATACGATGAATGTCTATGCTTTTTAAATGTTTATTATAGGGGCTGGGGATTTAGCCAGCGGCATAAGCACCTGCCTTGCAAGCAGGTGGTTGTGGGTTCCATCCCCGGTACCAAAAAAGTTTATTACAGTAAAATACACATGGCCACTAATCACCCCTCCAAATATTCCCCCTCACTTTGAACATAGTTGCTCCATTGTTCCTCACTTTCTGAAGCAGTTTGGAACTCTAGGAGATGTGAAGAAAACAAAAGCAAAAATAAAGAACGACGTTACGTGCCATCCTGTGGAAAGACAGGCTCATAAAAGCATGGCAACCTGTCCTCATCCACCTGAGTCACTGGAGTGGCACTCTGTGATTTGTGGTTCTTCCCCAAAGTCAAAGTGACCATAAAAGTAAGCATTTTAAATCAAGACATGAACAACACAACAGCAGCCACGACAACACAACTAAAGACACTCGCGAAGAGATTTCCAGAACTGCTTCAGAAAGAGGCCACAAAGAAGGGATAAGTGTGTTCAAGGGGAGGGGAGGGCTTTGAGGGGGACTGATGGTAATGTCCCTTATTGTAATAAGTACTTCTTTAAAAGTACTTATTAAGTACTTTAAGCAGTCACCATATTTTTTAATCACACCATGTAAACAATATAAATGTGAGCCGCAATCCTGAGTATTACTACAATGATCATTTCTAGAAATGAAAAACAAAAATTCACACGAGAAGCTGTATTCCATCTGCTCACCTTAGCCCTGGTCACAAATACTGGACTAAGAGACATTTGCCAGTGCCTGCCTCTGGAGGGAAACTGGTTGCACTGGAGTGAAGAAGCCCTTGGAACCTTATCCTTAGCACCTCTGTAGGAGGCTGGCTGAGGTTCCCCTTTTTATCTCCATCAGGTCCCTGAAGAAGATGACAGTTGGGATGTTCCTGGCTTCCATGGCCTTTGTGGTGGCTGCAATTGTGCAGTTGGAAATCGATGTGAGTCTTCCCTCGAATCTCCAATATCCTTTCCTAGTGGATGTAGGGGGGGCTACAGAATCTTTCTCCAGAGCTAAGAGGACTTGGGGGCACCAGGTCTTGCCCTACATACACTTCTAGGCCATGGAGCTACAGGACAGTGTGAGGCGAGGGTCAAAATAGTCCATTTCCATCCGTTAACACTGGATTCTCACACTGTGAGATGTGGCTGGGGCCAGGGTCCAATGGGTGTGCTCTGTTAAGACAGTGACGCATATGGCTTCCACTTGCATCATAGGAGGACATGTAGGTTCTGTTGCAGTCTAAACTTGCAGGAGATCTGATTAAGTTCACCATTCACAACCAAGCAACACTTCAAAGTACACGCATAGGGGCTGGGGATTTAGCTTAGCGGCATAAATGCCTGCCTTGCAAGCAGGCAGTCGTGTTTGATCCCCGGTACTGATAAAAAGGAAAAAGACAAAAAAAAAAAAAAAAACAAAGTACACGCATAGTCTTTTTGATGGAAATACACATTTTTGGATGCTCATATCTCAATAATGGTCAGTTCTGAGCTCATCCACATATCTGTCAGACCCACATGCACTAAACTAGTCTAATGTTGTTAGCATGAGATTAGGCCTTAGTCCTAGAAGTAGGTGCTGTGTGGTACGTGAAACATGAGGTGAGAGCCTCCCCGCCACCCGCCATCTCTCTGTTCCCAACCTTCTCTTTCAAGTTCTTTAAAATTTTTTTAAAAATTGAAAAACTAAATTGTGGTACCTATAACATGAAATTTAGTGTCTTGCCCATTCGTAAGTGGCATTCCATGCATTCTCATGGTTGCGTACCCATCACCAACGTCCTTCTTCATCCCAGACTAAATCTTTGTACTCATTACATATAAATAACTCTCCCTTCCTTCATCCCCATCTGGCATCTGTCATTCTGCTGTCTGTATGAATCTGAGTGCCTAAGGCACCTCAAGAAAGCAGGATCATGCAGTGTTTGTCCTTTGGGGATTGGCTTGTTTTACTCAGTGCAGTGTCCTGCAGGTTCATCCACACTGTGGCGTGTCACAGGATTGCCCTCCTTTTTAAAGGCTGACTAATACTCCATGGTGTGGACATGCTATATTTTCTTTACACACTCATCTGCGATGCACACCTGGATTCCTTCAACCTCTTGGCTCCTGGGCACAAGCCCGCTCTGAGCATGGGTGTGCCCACTCTCTTGCTCATGGCTGGCTTTGTGGGAAATGAATTGTGGGAGTGGAAGTGGACTGCTTTGGTCACACTGGATTTGAGAGAGATCATTGTAAAAATGAGACAGATACTCTAGTGTAAAAAACTGAAAAAGTAAATAAGACCCAAAATGTACAATAGATCCTGTGAAAGTGAAAAGGAAAGGAAAAGAAAGTGCTCAAAAGGAAAGAACGACTGGGATGGGGAAGGGAAAAAAGAAGGGTTATATATATATAACCTTTTCCCTTTTTTTATATATCATATATCATATCTATGATAGATAACTATCATATCTATCATGTATCATAGATATGATAGATATCTATCATAGATATGATAGAGATTACTATACTAGTAATCTCTGTTAGTTGATCAAAAAGAAGTTTGTGTTGTTTGATCATTTTTTCATGCCTGTATCTTATAATCTGAACAACTACTTGGAAGATAACAATAAGCAATATATCAACCAAGGTTAATCTCTTATTATTTTGTTTTGAAAATCTGTATCATTGTTTTTTATTGTTGTTGTTTTTTGTTTTGTTTTGTTTTGCTTTTGTACCTGGGATTGAACTCAGCACTTCATACTTGCCAAGCAGGCACTTACACTATTGAACTAAATCCCTGGCCCTCTTTTTTTGTTTTTAAAATAGAAAAAAAAAAAAAAGGATGATTTGATGCTAAAAAAAAAAAAAAAGGAAAGGAGACAAGGAGGCAGACAGAGGAGGCCGAGGCTGAAGGAATCCGTGAGAAGATGGTCAGAGCATCACGTTCGGGGCTGAGCCCGGGGCTCAAGGAGGGTCCACGTGTCAGGCTCAGGCCTCCTGCCAGGGGAGGTGCTCATCCAGCCCTTGGCCGTTCCAACCCCTCAGACACAGGCTTCACCCGGCACCCTCTGAGCTGGAGGTGGCCAGCAGCCTCTTTCCAGTGCCCTCCTCATTCCAAATAAATGCACACCCTCTGCTCTGGTCCTCACAAAGGAAGGTGAGGGACCCACAGGCACAGTAGGGGTGCACAGGTCCCTGCCAGTGCGGTGCTGGACAGCAGAGGGACAGCACAGTGGGTGTCAAAACGTGAAGGATAATGACCTTCTTCTATGTGGCACTGAAGAACTCACTGTCAGTGTTTTCTTCTTTTGCACAGAAAACTCTTCCAGTCTTCCCCGAAGCACACCAGGTCCAAGTTAAAGTCTTGAATATTGGAAACAATAACATCATCGTATCTTTTCCTGGAGACACAGTGACCCTGAACCCGATGTCTCAAGTAAGCAACTTTCTTTCCCATCTTCTGTCCCAAGTGATGCTAGGACTTGGAGAAGCAGTTTTTCCTAGGCCCTGTATGAATCTTCCCAGAAGCACAACGCCTCCTCAGTTTCTCTCTGCTCTAGATCACTGGGCTTCAGGCTCGAATCTGTGTACCGACCACATTCCTGCGTGTGAGGGTGCAGGTTCTGTTTTGTTTTGGTTTTTTGATTTTTCTGTTGGTTTTGGTTTTTTGAGACAGGGTCTCACTGTGTAGTTCAGGCCTTGATCTCACCATGTAGCAGGCTGGCCCCAAATTTGAGGTGTTCCTGCCTCAGCCTTCTGAGTGCTATAATTATCGGCACTCACCACCAGGATGCAGATTCTTAAATCCAGGTCAGAAATCCTACATTTCCACAGGCTCCCAACTGCTCCTGTTGTCAAAAACCACACTTCAAGTAGCAGAGAAGAGCAGTGGTTCAAAACTGGGTGACTCTGTTCCCTGGGGAACATTTGGCACTCTCTGGGGACTTTCTTTTTGTCATTGACACTAAAAGTATGCTGATGGCCTCCTATATGTAGAAGCAGAGATGCTGACATTTAGCCTTCAGTGACAAAGAATTACCTGGCCCAGCGCCAAGATTAGGAAACCTCGCTTTAGGTATCTGTTTTCTGTCCCAACCTTGAGTTCATATTGGGGTCACCCAGGAACCTCTGAAAACCCTGGAGCTGGGTCCCAACCCCAGCGATGCTGGTGCAACTGCTCTCCTTCCTGCTCAGCTGTGCGTGGTGTGACTGCCTTTGACCTTGCCAAGCTAGTGACCTTGGAGATGTACAGATAATGAAAAAGCACATAAAAGATATGGAATGTCACTGGCCATTACCTACGGGGTGACTAGAATCACTTTTTTCTTTTTCTTTTTTGGTTTTTTGAGACAGCATCTTTCTGTGTAGTTCAACTGGTCCTGAGCTCGCTCTGTAAGTACATTAAGACTTACACACGTCCAGTTCCTGACTCATGGCTCAGCACAGCACTGGCTCCCTCAGGGCCATTGCCTTTCCTCTGCTGCTATTCTTGGCCCAGTGTCTCAAATAATTTCCATGGCATTTATTTTCATGAAACAAAAGTAAGATGCTTGACGAGAAGTAGAATTCCTGTGATCATGCTGTAAAGCTTCCTACCGAATCCGTGAGGCCGAGGCAGCCATGCCAGCTGCCCACAGGCATTTCTGATGGGTAAGAACAGGAGCTGTGGGTATGGACATGTTGAATGCCAATAACTGTGCCATTACGGTATTGAATGTGCAAAACAAGACTGGCATTAACAGGGACTCCTTTCCCCCCTCAGACAGACACATACACGACCTTTGGTACAGACCAACTGCCAAGCATCAACGTGTCTTCCCCCGGGTCAGCAGTCACTGCGGTAGCCCACGACTTCGAGCAGGGCCACCGCCACACCCTGCTGGTGTGGGGCCCCCGTGACTACCACGTGGTGAGTAGCTGGCGTCTGCCTCAGCTTGCTCTGTGTGAAGCTGGAGACGTGACTTTCTCTGCTGTGGTTTTGTTTACCTCTCTGTGGTATTGTATCAGACCGTCCTCACTTTCTTCCTTCTTTAGAAACATGAGTCAGTTGACTTCCAGTAAAATTCTAAGATATGGGAAGAATTAAATACTAAGTAAAATTTTTAAAAGAATTGAGTGGGAGATGTGGAGATTTAACTCAGGAGCTCAAGCGCCTGCCTGGTTAAGCGCAAGGTCATGAGTTCAATCCCTGGTACACCACCCAAAAAAGAATCGAGAAGAATATGCTATGTGTACAATTTATTATACGGTCACTTTCCTCAGTCTTTGCTTATTCAGAGAGCTATTGGGCAACTGTGTTGTAAATTCTTGAAAAGTGGTATTCTTCCTGGAAGTCAAGGATTAAAAATAATACAGGCTCCTGTCAGTCTGGAAAAAATAGAACCTCTCCAATGTAATAAAATTATGCTCTTACTACTAGGATAAAGTTTGAAATCATCCGCTGAAATGTTAATGTGAATTTATCTTCAGGAATTAGATATCAGAATTTTTTTAAGTTACTCTTTTCTCTCCTCAGGTAAAGGATGGGCTTAACAATAAGCCAGACAAAGGAGAAAATGGAATCAGGTATGAATATTTTTTTAAAATTCAAATTATGTTACTTTCTGATGAAAACACATAGTAAAATCCAAGTGGGGCCAGGAGTATAGCTTAGTGGCACAGTGCCTACCTGGCAAGCTCAAGGGCCTGAGTTAGATTTCTGGTACCAAACAACAACAACAAATCCAACTAGAACAAGACTATAAAATGAGAGTATGGGGTCTATCCTAAGAATGTTAGGCTAGTGCAATATTTTTAAAATCAATTCATATAATCCATCATCTAAATAAACTAAAGAGGAAAATCCATATATCAGCTGATGCAGAGAAAGCAGCCAACATCCATTTATGCTGAAAACTCTAAGCTAAGTTAGGAGTAGAGGAGAGCTTCCTTACCCATAAGATGGACACCTACAAAAGAGTTTCCTGGCGAAAGTCTCAATGCTGTCCCCTAAGATCGGGAACAAGGACATAGTATTCTCTCCATTTCTATTCTACATCCTTCTGCATGCCAGAGCAGCGAGACAAGAGAAAGTCACAAAGCCACACAGACTGGAAAGGAAGAAATAAAGCTGTCTCTACTCACAGGTGATGTCTGTCTATATAAAAAGTATCCAGAACTTTACCCAAATCAAGGTCACAGGGCCGACAACAACAGAAATCCATCCTGTTCTCTGTACAAAATAAACCCCTGGACCCAGGCATGGTGGCAAATACCTGTAATTCCAGCACTCCAGAGGCTGAGGCAGGAGGACTGCTGCAAGTTTGAGGTCAGCCTGGGCTACCTGGTAAGTCTAGACAAGACTGAACTACATGGTCAGACTTTCTCTTTCAAAAAAAAGGAAATTAAAATTTTAATTTAACGTCATATCATTTACAATATCTCCCCCCAAGTTTGAAAGATATAGTATAAACTGAACAAAATGTGTGGGATTTGAATACTAAAAACCATAAGATACTAATGAAAGAAACCAGTGAAGGTTAAAATAATGGAGATAGGATATGTACATTAATTAGAAGACTTGATATGGTACCAGCTCTGTTCTCCCAATTGATCTATAGGTTGGTTTAGTGTGATTCCTATCAAAATCACAGCATTACTTTTATAAATATAAACAACACAATTATAAAATTACATGGAAAGACAAAGGAAAAATAGCTAAAATATGATTTAAAAAGAATACAGTTGGAACTCGTATCACTACCACCTATAAGACTGTGTAAAGCTACTGTAAACAAGGCAAAATGGTATTAGCAAAAGCATAGAGCCATATGTCAAAAATACAGAAATAAACCACACAAGTCAATGGTTCTTTGCCCAAAGCACAAAGACAATCAAATAGATTGAAGAAATTTTTTTCAAAATGGTATTGAAACATTTGGACATTTGCATGTAAAAATGAATTTAACCTAAACCTCATACCTGAGCCAGGTACCATGGCCCATGTGAACTAATGGTAGGAACTATTGATAATCCCAGCTTGTGGGAGGCTGAGGCAAAAAGATTGCAAGCTTGAGGCCAGCCTGAGCTACAGTGCAAGTTCAACGCTAGTGTGGATTACGTAGTAAGACTTTGTCTTTTAAAAAATTTTAATAAACTTCGTATCTTATGCAAAACTCTTGCTGAAAATTGTTTAAAATTCTTATATTTCCTATATGCAAATTAACTCAAAAATCAATTAAAGATCCATATATAACATGTTAAACCTTAAAATGTATATAAGAGATATTAAGAAGTCCTTGGAACATTGAGTTCTTAGGACACCAAAAGCATAATCCATAGGAGAAAAACTTGATAAATTAGACTTCACTGAAACTAGAAATGTTTTTTCATCTCCTACCTAGAAGAATAAAAAGATAAGCTACAAACTGGGAGAAAATTCTTATAAACCACATATATGACAAAGAATTTGTATCCAAAATGTAGGAAGTATTCTCAAAGCTCAGTAATAATAAAATTACCTAATTTAAAAAATAAAGCAAAAGTTCTTACAGACATCTATCAGAGAAAATACACAGATGGCGAATAATCACATAAAAGATATGAAACATCATTAGTCATTATCTATTGGGTGACCAGAATCACTTTTTTTTCTTTTTTTGAGACAGGGTACGCAGTTCAGCTGGTCCTGAACTCACTGTGTAGCCCAGGCTGGCCTTGAACTCACAGCAATCCTCCTGCTTCAGTCCCCCAAGGGCAGGTTTTAAGGCATGCACCACCACACCTGGCTAGAGTCACTCCTTAAAAACTGACAGTAGTGAGCGCTGGTGAGGATGCAGAGAACCCGGAGCTCCCTCCATTGCTAGGAGTGCAGTGTGTTACAGCCCAGTGAGAAGCGGTTAGGCAGCGTCTGCCGCCCAGTCCTTTGCCTTTTTTCAGCTCTCAGCCCTTTTTACTTTTTATCTTGTAACAGTTTTGCTAAATCTCTAAATTGCTCAAACTTTCAGTTCTCCCACTGCAGTCTCTGAAAGTGCTGGGGTACTTTGGCAGGTTTTTTAAAAAAAATAACGATAACACACACTTACCATAAGAGCTAGATATTTAACCTAGAGAAATGCAAACTTACATTTACATAAATATCTGTACACAAATGTGTCTAGAAACCATAGTCACCCAAATGGTCTTCAGCAGGTGATAAGAATATAGTACCTGGGCCAGGGATTTAGCTCAGTGGCACAGGAGCCTGCCTAGCAAGTGCGAGGTTGTGAGTTTGATCCCCAGTACCAAAAAAAACCCCTAATGTATATCCATCCATACTACTTAGCAGGAAAAGGAACTAGTAATACACCTCAATATGAATGCATTTCAAATGTCTTATGCTGCAAAAGGAGCCAGTCTCAAAAACTCACATACTATTCCATCCTTTTACATGGCATGCCAGGAAAGCAAAATAATTACAGAGAGGCGGAACAGATTAACGACTACTCTGAGTTAAGAGTGGAGAAAGGATTTGACTACAGATGGCATGACTTTGGAGTGATTCTGACTGTGATGTACTTATGAGCTTAGACGTGTTAAAATGTAGAGAACTGTATGGTCCCCAAGCCACGTACTATAAACAGATTCTGTAAGAAATTGAGGCAAATCTGAGACTAGATCTCCTTTTAACCTCAATCTTCAACTCTAGCCCCATTCTTCAATGATGGTACCTTTAACAATTTCTGATTTTAACTTTTACTTTGAATCTGAATGCCCCCCTCAAAGCTTCATGTGGTCATAGGAGGGGCTTTTGGAGGTGGCTGGGTCTGGGGTGTGTGATGCTGGGATCAAGGATGTGATGCTGGGATTGATTCATGGCACAATGCTAGGATTACGGGTGTGAGTGCTCCCTGCCCTGGGTAAAATATCAGACAGGAAGAGGATCCGTGGTTGTCACTTGTCGCCTGTCTCTTGCTGCTGTTTCCTGTCTGCTGTGCAATGCCGTGCCCTACACACACATATCATGCCACCCAGCCTTGGAGCCAGCCAATTATGTTATGAAACCTCTACAAACAATAAGCCTAAATAACCCATTTCTCCTTTAACTTTGGGTATTGGGTATTTTGTCTCAGCAATGAGAAAAGTAACTAAGACAGCACTAAAAAACAGAATAATAGACAAGTAGTTATTACTAGGATGGTATCCATCACTAATATAAATTATAAAGAAGTTAACTTTTCATCTTCCTCACTTCCAATTTGTTTCACATTTATCATTTCCATGCTTCTGTTTCCATGTACTAGAATGTGTCTAAAAATAGATCAATAAACAGTTTATACTAAGATCATATATAAACATTATCACAATAATATTAAAGTATGATCAGTCTGAAAGAGAAAGAATGTAAGAACATACTCTGTATCCTTGAAAACAGGTTAAAATCTTCTGAACATCAAGGTGGATTGGACAATCCTATCATGTCCTTGAGTGGTTCAGTTCTGCCCACCTTGCTGGCTTCGATTTGACCAAGACCCTCTTACCCTTCCTTCCTTCCTTCTTTATTTTCCCTTTCTTTCTTTCTTTCTTTCTTTCTTTCTTTCTTTCTTTCTTTCTTTTTCTTTCTTTTTCTTTCTTTCTCTTTCTTTTTTTCTTTCTTTCTTTCTCTTTCTTTTTCCCTATAACCCAATGAGCCATTTGTTCACAAAGGCACAAGCCCTTAGCCAATCTCTAGGCTTCCACCTTGTTAACCATGCTGTGTCCAGGGAGTCCTTTTCCTCGCTAAAAACCCACTCTCTGCCTGCTCTGTGGTCTCATGCGAGTACCTGCTCCATGTCCCACTAGCAAGCCACTGTCCTCATCGGCTTTTCTGCTGTTTGCCAGGCAGGTGCTTTTCTTTCTTGGATTCCTGTCATCTTTTCTCCGATTCCTTTCTTGTTGGGAATGGGTTGCAGAAGGCTCTGGCAGGAAATGCAGATCTGAGGTGAACTCACGCAAGCCCCTCCACACGGAAGAATACCTTTTCCTCTTCTCACTCCGGGCTCGTTGGTGGACGCCAGCATTTCCTGCCAGAGCCTTAGGGCTACATCTCTGTGGGCGTCTGGACTCGCTTGTTCCAGTGGGGAAAATGTGTCTCCAGTCTTCTTAATTTATTTCAACTTCTCATCAACCTTTGATAACTTCTTTCTCTTTGGCATTTCCCGATTTCTCTGCAGTGTATCTAAATGTGGGCATTTTATTCATCTTGCCAGCACAGGGAGCTTTCAGGATTCTTCCCTCATTTTCTTTGTTCCCTTCTTTGCCAGAGCTGCATGACCCAGGGCCCCCGAATGGGTAGGTCACTCTCATGAAAAGTTGTGTCCTCACTGGTCCCCTGGCTGAAAGTCCAAGAAAAGGGGGCAGCAAAGCTGCTTTCTTCCAAGTCTGCTGTCCTGCACTTGTAGGTGGTGGTCTCTGTCTGTGTCTCCGCACGGTCTTTCCTCTCTGTGTGCCCGTGTCCTCCTAATCTGCTTTTCATATAAACACACCAGTCATATCAGCTTAACGCTCACCTGGTGCCTTGTTTTACCTCTTTAAAGACCTTTACTCCAAATAAAGTCACATCACGGACTCCAGCATGTGAGTTTGAAAGGGATGCATATCAGCCCTTGACACCTTCTCTCAGATTTTTGGGTTTGCCCCTCCGTTCTAGCCCCACACAGAGACACAGCTGCCCTAGAGGATCTGGGAGGAAATAAGCTGCCCACGGTCACCTGGCCCTCTCTGACCTCTGCATCTATGTGGAGCTGACATCCCCTCTGAGGTTTCCTTTGTGTCTTGGAATGGTTTGCTTTGATTTGATGGAAATCTTGGCACTTTAGATTACAGTATGTTTTCTTAATCCACTGGTTCATTACTTAAAAGCTTCATTACTTAAAAATTGTCTCTCTGATGAAATCTTGAAAAAGAAGAGATGTGTGAGTTTAGCAACATATCACTCCCACCCCCACTACCTGTGTGGTAAAAGATAAAAATCAGAAACTTTTCTTCTATTAACTTACAATATCAAATTCTTAAGGAGCAAAGGTTTTTTTTTTTTTTATTTCAGTAATATCCTAGGTTTAAATAGGGAAAATCTAGAAAATGGGTGTCAGAAAATAAATAGAACAATTTCAATAATTTCATGAAGTCAGACTTCTGAGTAATTTATGAATTAAAGCAAGAATATACAAATTTTAAGCAAGTGGAATTCTTCTGATTACATGGTTTGAGTAATCTGCAAGATTTTAAACCCTTATCTTAGGTTGGCCTTTAAATAAAGTGGCAATTCTTTTGGTCAAAAATTAGTTGAGAATTTGAAGTTCAGCTTTCTTATGTGTTCTTAAACATTGCACATTGCTACATATTATATGTATTCATAAATACTATGGTTTATAATATTACAGATAATATAAAATGTATTATTTTAATAGTTAGCCATATTGGTATACGCGTCCCTTATCCATTCGCCTTGCTATTGTGTAGTATCCCATTACATGGGCATACCACAGTTTAGTTATACATTCTACTGTTCAACAAAAGTGAGGTTATTCCCATTTTTCCAAATAATATGACTTTGCACATTCTTACCTGTTTCTTTGTCCATACATAGGAAATTTCTTTAGGGCAGTGGCTTTTACACTTTTCTTCATCCTTAATAAAAATAGTTTGAACATGCACGTGAGTCTGAAGCAATGCATACATAAAGATGTGTGAATGTGGTATCCTTTACAAATCCCATATAAAAGTCACTGTATTCAATTAATATGTGTCACAGAGCTGATGAAACTTGACCACATATTTTATGAGCATAAATTTTAAATCATTTTTTATAGAATTTAAGTGCACACTAGTATTTCTTGTTCTCTACGTTTGACGATCTGCTATGAGCCTTCACTCACCTACTTGGTAGGGAAAAATCAACTGGTCTTATCTTAGGCAGCAGCCTCCTCAGACCTTGAGTAGTACAAGAATTTCAGAGTCTCCTGTGGCCTGCACCACCCAAGGAAGTGATCTCTAGTCACCTGCCCTTGCTGGTCACTGCCTTTGTGCTCCTCAGCAACAGCCCTGGCACTAAGACCAGAGCTTGTTGGGTGTCCACTTCTGCATTTCAGCAAAGTCCTGGTCCCTCTAGAGCCGCACCGGTCTCTGCTATCTGAGAGTTAATTCCTGGAAACTGTCTGTGCAAGCCTTGTCAAGATCCCCCTCTTCCCCTGGCTCCCAGACGTAAAGGAAACAGCAGGTTTTGCTCCTTGGCTCTTTAAAGAATCCCTGCCCGGGGTGTTTTCCAGGTACCGGGCAACTTTGGGTCTTGGTCCTTCATCTCTTTAGCACTAAAGCTTACGGAGCACCAAGGCATGGCTGCCTATTGGATAAGGAGAAGATCAGTATTTATTTCAGTGCCTACTTAATTATCCCCAAATATCATTGCACTAGATTTACAGAGTACTTAGAAAGTACCTGACATGTATAAACACTGTTAAACGTATTCTTTTAGGAGTGCTATCGTGATTGGGTAAGCAAGAACAGACCTAGGCTTGCTAACTTTCTGCCTTTAGACTCTAGGAATTCTCTGGAAGCATCTTCAATTCCTTCAAAAATGATAGCATAGCCTGACGTCTAGCACATGTCTGGAATACATTATTCCATTTACTGATAAGGCAGATGGTTTTCTGTTTCAGATTTGTAAATACTTTTAACAACGCAGTCAGCATCACAATGAGCGGGAAAGTTTATGAAGATGTCACCAGTTATAATGCCAGCGAGTATCAGTTTTTTTCTTCTGGCAAGTAAGTACCTGTGCTGGATGCTACGCTCCAGAGTTCAAGGGTATCCAGACATTTTCTTTGAAACAATACACTGAGACTTCCATGCCAAGACCATTAGTCTCTATTATTCTTTTTCTTCATAGAAAAAACTTCACAGTGAGCTCAACAGAGTTTCCCCAGACATGTCTACGTGACTTCCAGTCTTCCAACCTGGAATTTGGCGGCGCCTACACCTACGTGATTGAAAGGCAGGTCAGTAGCTCAGTCCACCCCACCCAGAGTGCTGGAAATGGTCAGGATTAATTCAACTAGTTCTTCAACTTATCACTGACAAAAAAGTTAACCACTAGAATAAAGTTCAGCCGATTGACATACACTGACTAGGAGTTCATGTTGACTGGTATCAGATGCTTCCCTGTAGACTACAGACGTGGACTTTAGGAACTTATACTTCAAAGACAAATCAATGTCTTAAACAAATCCGAATTCCAATCTACTCTAATTTAAGAGGAAAATATTGCTGAGTATGTTTCCAATCCAAGACCATCCCATCTCAGATAGAAAAGGCGAGGTTGCACACTCGTAGTCAGACTGTCAGACTTCCTTGTTAACTTGCACACCACACCTCACCAGAACAAGCAGCATGCCTGCTTGAACAGTTGTTCTAGAAGCAATCTTGACTTCGATTTCAACTTCCTGCCTTTGCCTTACTGCTCCAGAGTGACGGCTGTCCTGGCATAAAGCAATTTGAAGATATTCCGCCCAACACAGTCAACATGGCTCTGCAGATCCCGCAGTATTTCCTCCTCACCTGCGGCGAAGTGGTCTTCTCCGTCACGGGACTGGAGTTCTCATATTCTCAGGTTTCTAGTTTACTGGTTTTTTACTACCCCTCTCCTACCCTCCTGCCTTCAAAAATGCTTCTGAGACTTGATTTAAATCATAAAGCACTACATGTTTATAGTTTTTAAAAATTCTAGAAAGTACTGTATCTTCCACAAAGCAAGGGTGTTAAGGTTTGAGGAAGATCCTGGACTCTCTCCTGAAAAAGAACACCACTTGGGTAGCTATGTGTCTGTGTCCCCACTGTCACCCTTGCTCTTTGTGTCCTTGATGGAGACATAGTGCAGTTGTAGAGCCCTTGCCCAGAGCATGCAAGGTCCTAGGTTCAAGCCCCAGCACCACTTTTAAAAAACATACAGGAAGTTTAGAGTTCTAAGTAAAAAAACTATATTAGTGATTGCCAGTAGAGTCATGGTAGTGGATTAAACAATCAAATGGTATCAACTACCCTTAAGTGTGCTCACTGCAGATCTCTACATCATTATAGACAGGATTCAGTGAAGACAGTTAGCTCCCAGCAAACACATCAGCTAAGACCTAGCTTTAAGAGCAAGCTCAAACATGTTGTTTTTAAGTACATTTGACAAACGAGGCAAAGTTTGTTGATACTTAAGCTTAATTTCAGAACTATTTTATCAAAACTGCAGTTACGATCATTGTCTCCCACAATTCTTGTACCTTCAGTTGTGGTAGTTAAGATAAAAGTACGAGCTGGATGATCCCTTCCTGTGACAACCTGGACCTCGCAGTCTAACAAAGGCAGCGGGGAGCAGAGCTTGAAGGGGGCTTTAGGCAGTGCTGCAGGGAGGCCTCAGAGGAGCAGGCTCCCAGCCGAGAGCAGTCCCCTGAGGGCAGATGGGCTGGGGCGCTGGGCTTTCAGCTGTCCTGTGGCAAGGCCTGTGGCTCTGCAGATCTGTGTTTTCCTTAAAGGGTCGCTCTGCTAGTATGCGGAAAGTGACATCCATGGGTTCCAGGATGCTGAGCAGCAGGAGGGCTCGGGAGCTGGGCTGCCCTGGGGAGGACCCTCTCCACTGAAACAAGCCTGACCTTTAACGATGCACTTTGAGGGCAGCCTGCTCAGTGAAGTGAATTTGTCAGTTGTGTTCCACTCTGAGATGGAGCTCAAGATTGGGGTTCACCTTGATTTGCTTTCCCAGGCTCCTTCCAACATGAAGTCGGTGCTTCAGGCAGGATGGCTGTTGACGGTGGCCGTCGGCAACATCATCGTGCTCATTGTGGCGGGGGTAGGCCACTTCAATGAACAGGTACGGGAAACTGGGGCTCCCCTGCACTAAGAGTCATCACTGTGACCATCCCTTGCCATCTCTAAACACACAGCCATTTGGGTAGCAGGTGGATAAAATTGCCAAATCAGCTGGACAGGGCTGTCACCCATAGCTGTGAGGCTGAAAGCATACCAATTCTTATTTCTCCCTGGTGTGGTACAGTTGGAAGCTGACAACCAAAATAGCCCGAGCGAGTTCAGTCCACACTTGCCAATGTGGTTTCCTGTCGAAGGAATCATCCTTCCTAGCTTCAGCGACTGCAGCTTACTTGCCCTGAACTAGGCACATTTTCTAGAAACTTTTGTAATACCTCAAGGTCAGGCCATTCTTGAAGCGGTGGCAGTTTTTCCAGCTAAACTAAAAGGAGGGCTTTTCTGACAGTACAACTCATTCCTGCAGCACCAGGGCACACAAGCTCTACCTCAGAGTTGTCTGTCACCACAGCCATGTCATCCTCTCCCACGCCAGGTCCCACAAAGTATGTGCTAAAGCCTGGTGCTTGGAGCCCCAGGGGCCGCCCAGGGATACTCAGTAGAACCCAGCACATGCTTTTCCCCACAGAGGACTGCTCAGTGTTCTTTTGGTTCCGTCCTCCAGGCATCAGCCACGTATCTTAAGACCAGAATGTTTCAGAAATTCTCTTGTATCCTCCATTCATGTTGTATTTCCTGCCCTGTGCTGTTAGGAAATCTTAGCTGTTCCTTACACTTTCAAGAAAAGCTGGCCAGTCCCCCACCCTGCACGCCTTGCCTACCAATTTTCCAAAACAATTTAAAAGCACCTTGCACTTAAGCATACCAAGAAAATGTACGTGTAATATATGCACTAATGCGACCTGTGTTTTTTTCTTACTCTCTCTCTGACTCCTCAAAGTGGGCTGAGTACATTCTGTTTGCTGCGTTGCTTCTGGTCGTCTGCATCATATTTGCGATCATGGCTCAGTTCTACACTTACGTGAATCCAGCAGAGATTGAAGCTCGGTTTGATGAGGAGGAAAAGAAAAAGAACTCGGGAAAGAGTGACCCGTACGCTTCGCCGGAGTCAGTCACCCAGACAGTGATGTGAAGGTGAGGGAGCGTGTGGACGACAGACTGAGCCAGCTCGCGCCTTGACCTCCGTCCCCAGGGCGCAGGACACCCCACCAGAAGGCCCTGGATGGGGAGACTTTGGAGCTGTGAACCATACCTGGAAAGCTATTTTCCAAGGAGCCAGCAAAGAATCCAAAATTCTAGAGGCAATCTCTTTTTGTAGGTCTTATTTAAATTACACACATTCCCTTTTTTAACAGAGAATATACCTTGCATTTAATAATTCCTCTCTTGCTACACAAATTAAACTATTTTGGACTAAATTTTTAAAAGGTAACAGAGTTCCATATTTTCTCTAAAACTCTTTTGAGAACAATGTTAAATGAGATGTTAATGCCAAAAGTGAATTTTCAGGTATATAGAAAGTGCCAGCTGGTATTAACGGACAACCTTTTATTTTTCTCATCCCTACCTCTTTTTAAATTATGTATAACTCAAAAGACAACTAAAATGAAGGCCAGTAATGATGTTTGAAGTTTCAGTGATGTGAAATAAATTCCTATTCTTAAGAGTAAGTGTTCTTGTGTCTTTGGGTAGGGTAAGAAATCTTTAACATGCTATGCAGCTATAAAAGTATTGTATGCGCGTTAAAATTTCATCAGAAGCGATGAAAGCAGTGCCCACACAGGGTAAATCCTGGGGATGTGAACCATCAAAATCTGTTCCCCGGGCTAGGTTCTTTCTACGGGTGTGTATGTGTACCCCGCACGGTGTTTTTCTCAATACTGACCAGCATTTTTCTGTTGGAAACAATTTTTCCAGAACATTGTAGACACTCAATGCCTAATTTGTCTTACAGCTATTGATCATTTAATTATCCCAGATGTCAGACCCAAAACGATTTTTCTCTGACATTCTTCTGCAAACAAGGGGTGGTTCTTAAACTCATACGCTACTCTGAGGATTGAAAACCGTTACTGGATTAGAACAGTTCACGTTTGACCTCAAAGATGTTTCCACCCAAGCCTGTGGCTGCGCTGCAGGGGCTGCATTGAAGCTGAGACTTAGTCCAGAGAAAAGCAAACAGGATTCATCACAGCTTGCTTCATGTCCCAGTTCCTTAGAGAGGGCCCAGAAGTCTCTGTTTCCTCTCAGCAAATTTGATTCTTCCCCACATTCTCCAATACAACCAACACTGAGCTTCTCTTCCTATAATGCCTCAAGTTCTCATCCCAGGTCCACGGAAGAACTACCAGCTCCTGTGGCACGCTCTCTCTGGTCAGCCGCATTCCCCCACCTGGCTAAGTCTTCCTTTTTAGATGGCCCCACCCTGCCGCACTGGGCTATGTCCAGCTCTCAGCTCCCAGGATGCTTGGCTATGCTCTCCGCCCTCTGAGTGCTGGACCTGCACGGCTCTCCCTGGGGGTAGAGTTCCCTGTGTGACTCCTGAGCATGGTGGCCTTCTATTCGCTAAGTAAACCTTTTAAATATCTTGGGCTGTTGGAAACCACTACGAAGTGGCTCTGAGCAGGCTTTCTATGTTTATCTGTGAGTCTGTCCTAGGCCCCTTGCCTGGTGATGGGAGCTGATTCATAGTAAGTGAACCTCTATGAATCACTGGTCCTGGCTGAGGCCTGTAGTGGCCTGTGAGGCCAGAGATACCTCAAAGGGCAAAATGAGGCCACAGCTGGGGACACTCTGGCTCCAATCCCAATTAACAAGGTAGAGTCTGCAGCTGTAGGAATTACTCCTACAGTCTCACTTCTACCATGTCTTCATGATAAGACAGTGCTACTGAATTGACTTGATTCATTACTTGGAGACGTCCTTGAAGTGACTCCCAAGGTCCTGCTCATTGCCTGCACTTTCCTCAGTTTCTCCGCCCTTTGTCCTTGGTCCTAATATAAGTGGACTGACCCAGAGAATCCTTTGTCTTTACCCTTGAAGCCTCAAGCTTAATTAAAGAGTTTTGGCTCTCCTAGAAAATCATACAGTTTATCTCTTTTTATTTAACTCCGCTGTACACTTGTTTAGGAGATCAGGGATCTAGGACAGAACCCAATATTGGGCTATGCAAAGTGAGAGGAAAGAGGCAGGGAACTGAACAAACTATTTTAATTTAACCAAGTATAATTTGAATGAACTTAATAAACTCTAATGTTAAAAAAAAAAAAAAACTGTAAGGGACCACAAATTCTACTACTTTAATGGTTTCTGATTTACATAACGTGACCTTATTGGGAAAAGCCAATGGCTACAGTAATGAGATGAGTGCTCATTACTGTAAAAGGTAAAAAAATTTACCTTTTGTTGTTGGTGGTGATGGTGCTGAAGGTTGAATCCGAGGCCTTCACACTAAGCTACAATGCCCAGCCCCCAGTTTTTTATTTTCAGGCAAAATCTCCCACTAAATTGGCCAGGCTGAGCTCAGATTTGTAATTCTCCTGCCCTCGCTTCCCAGAGTGCTGCATTACAGGCATGCACCACCTTCCCTGGTCCCACTGTCCTGCCCTTGACAGCAGTGAAAGTGCTAACCCTAAATCCCTGCAAGAGATTTAAATCCCAACTTGTTTTTTAGCTTCTGTGTAGCTTTGGGCAAGTTTTGATCTTTTAGAACTCATTTCTTGCCCTGCAGAATAAAGTGAAGAACAAACAATCTGAAGATTTGGAAACCTTTTGTTTGCTGGTACCCGGAACAGGATAGATTTCCAAACCTTTGACAGAGCCAGATTGGCAGCTGATAGAGTTATTTCCAAAAGATGAAAAATATTAACAAAAGATGAGAAATATAAAATAAAAAGCGGCCTTTATTCTGAGAACACAGAGAGAGATGACCGGCAACCCCCACCGCTGGCGTCCGGCGATCTCTCCGGCGGACACGCGGTGTGGGGGCCTGTAAATAACCTCGGTTTGGGGTGGAACCTAAGGCGGGCATTAGGGATACACAGGTAGCCCATTGGTCCTAGGTTTGGCGCCATATGTAAATTCCCAGGGGCGGGAAGATGGCGTCACAGGTAACTTCCTAGGGGCAGGGCAAGATGGGGCTTCCTGCTTCCGGTTGTGGCTTTCCTGGCTACAGTGTCCTGTCTGGGCCAAACCTTTCATATCCCGTCTTATGGTTATTATTATGAAAAGGGGCGAAGATTTCTCTCTTTAACTACTTCCTGCTGGCAAAGGGCGCTGTACTGGAGCCTAGGGGAGTCGACGGGATGAAGGTTGATGCCCAGGTAGACGCTGGTACCAGGTGTTTTGGCCAGGACAACTTCACTGGTGAATGCACGTATGTCAGACTGGAAAAACAAAGAGACAAGATGTTATGAGGAGACATGGCACTGTCATATTTAAGGACCCAGGTGAGGTAGAAGGCTGCATTTGATTTAGACATGTTCCAAGGTAAGGCAGAATTCTGAAAATTAAACGTGGGGTTAGGAGGAGTGGAGTTATGAGAGGTGATTACTCCCCCATCTGAAAGCATAAAAGTTAAGACAGTAGGTTGGTGAGGCTTGTCTCTGGTATGCATGATGTTGGAGTCTGTAGGCAATACTGTTAAAGAGTCCTGCTGTAAAAATGATCATTAATAGAATGTAAGAAATTAGGAACCAAAGTGGATAACAAAACATGACTTAGCCTGTTAACTGTGGCTGCGAGGCCTTTGTGAGACGGAGACAGGTAGGCGACAGGAGATGAGATGACCACTCAGAATGATCAGATTTAGGGCTGGAAGGGCACCTCTTAGCCTGAGTGATGTGAAACCAGGATGGCAGTCTAGCAACTTTGATTTAGACATGGGTCGCTGCAACCTGGTTGTTGTCCTTGGAATGATTTGTTGTAACAGAACTTTAGCAAGTATGAGAAAGGCTCTTATGCATCCTGAAAAAGTATAAACCAAGTGAGAAGACTGGGACCTGCACAAAATAGGCCCTGTTTGTAAATGGCATAGGTTGACCATCAATACCCCATCATAGAGATTGAGGACTTAATATAGCAGCCTGAATACTCAGGAAGAACTCTGTATATATGGCCTCTATGTCCACAAATATAGAGAATGTCTTACCTGAGACTTTAGTACGACTTGGAATCCGAGACGGACACCTTAAAGGGGGCTGTTGTTGCCCTGAACCCCCTCAGCCTCCAGCAGCGATTTTCTGTCAGTGACGAATCTGGCAGTGTCGACATTTCCTGTGAGGGCTAGAACTTAGGATGGCTTACCCACTCTCTGGTGGCTAGGACAGTCCAGCAGCCCTGGAGTAAGGTCTCAAAGAATGCCAGGATGGGGCATTTTCTTGTCCAGTATCTTCTGCTGCATTTGAGCGTGGTCCATGGAGGGGGCAGGCAGCTCCACCTTGTGTAGGTTTACCTGTCTCAGAACTCCAAGTGTCACAAGTGTTAAAAATATGAAAAACCATATTAAGATCTCTATAAGGTTTGAAGGTCAAGTTTTGTCTTTTTGTTTGGGATTTGGACTATAGTAGAATTAAGTAAATATGCAGGAATATCACTTTTTTTTTATAGGGTGACACGTAGAATTAACAAAGCTTTAGTCTACCAAACAAGGCTTTAATGGAAACATTTTGCAGTAAAGGTTTAGCAATCTTATGAATAAATCTATCAAAACTGATCTAATACTGTTAAATTCTGAACACATTTACTTTTAAAGTTGTTATTTGCAGTAGTATGAACCAAGACAAATAAAATAAAACTTTGAAGAAAACCCTTGTCTTGAAATAGAGCTAGTGGTTCCCAGCAAAAAGGAATTTATAACCTTAGTTGTTAAACAGGAGATTGGTGAAGGCTTTGATTGATAAACAAGGCTGGTAAAATTATCAGGTGGCCAATAACCTTGATTAAATGGTTTGAGAATTGTAATAAAAAAGCATCTTTTGAGCGGAGCCAAATTGTAAAAAAAAGCATGCCTGAGCAGAGCCGCTGAGCTGCTGTTTTGCGGCACTCCGGCAGAGCACGCCCAGTGGGTGGGGCAAGCCCTGGAATGTAGCGCGCAGGGGCGGGCTCGGACTGCCCCCGGAAACGTGTAAGATGGCAGCGGCGACGACGGCGCACAGGGGAGGGAGGGGCTGGGACGGCGCACAGGGGAGGGAGGGGCTGGGACGGCGCATGGGGGAGGGGCTGGGAGGCGGCCCGACACAGCGCGCGAAGCTGGAACTGCTCGCAGGGCTCGAGGATTAGAAAGCCAATTTAGGAACACAGCTGGGTTTTGATTAGCTTCCTGGACCTGTTTTAAAAGTTTGTTATAGTTAGTATGCTTGTCCTGCTCTGGCACAGATATAGGCCCAGAGTCATTATAAACGTCCTTAAAATGTAAATCATAACAATTAGTAATGAATTCAAATTGCCTGATATAATTCTGTGGGTCAACAGAAAAGCTACCTAATTTATGGACAGTCTGGGATAGATCAGAAAGGGAAAAAGGCACATGGATGTTAACAAGTCCCTTGGGGCCAGCTTGCTCCCGAAGCGGTAGCAGAGCCTGAGGAGATTCCGGAGCAGAGGGCCACTGAGCAGCCATCCTTCCGGTAGGCGCATGTGAGCAATCATCTGTAGAGCGGCTACAGA